TCAAGCTCAAACAACTTTCTTTTATTTTATTTTTTTCAGGCTCAAACAATTTTTCTTTTTTCAACAAAAGTAATAAAATCACGAAAAAAAAAAATCAAACGAAAAAAAATAAACGAAAAAAAAATAAACGAAAATTAATAAACGAAAATGAATGCTTTATTTTTCTTTTTCTTTGATTATATATACTTGAAGAAAAAAAAATATATATAAACAAAAAAATACAATTATCGATTTTTTTTTAATCAACATAGCAATACGTGAAAAAAAACAAATAATATTAACGCTAATCAACTAATATATATCCAATAATCATAATCAAATTTTCTACCAACTACGATACGCCATCCCTCAAGTTTCATTCTACCGCTCCCTCCGGATCGGGGCCCAATACGGACTCCAATTCCGCATCACTCACACTGCACTGGAGCCAATTCTGGAACTCTGGTGTCAAATACTCTTCCAACATTCTTGATTCCTCTTGATTTGCCTCCGGCGTTGCATCATCTTCTTCCTCTCCGGGTTCGTTGCCCCCTCGAATTCGTTCCCCAACATCTTCATGGACTTGCTCCATCATCCAATTCCCCCACGCTTCGCTCGTTTTTGGGCCACTTGATCTCCCCCACACGTATTGCGGTCTCCCCCGTCGATGGCAGGCTGTCTTCCGCTAACTCATTCTTCCAGACGGATTGTTCCCATGTCTGACACGATGCGGAATTGAAGTCCGTATTGGGCCCCGATCCGTTACCACTGTCACAGCAACCCCAAATTTAGCCCATAAATTATTTAATACTTTTATCACGATCTGAGTGGTTAATCCTTTCACTTCCTCATACTCTACCCATAAAAAGCATCTACCACTAATATATATTTTTTATTTTCAAAGTCAAAGAAATCCAAATGGATGCGCTCCCAAGGCTGCGCTGCCCTCGGCCACACTCTTTCTTAAATTCCTGTCCCCACTGTTTCATTCTCTCCATTCCTTGATGTCCAGCATGAATCATCGCCATTACTGCTTCTCTTAGCTTGGACGGTATAACACTCCTATTTCCTCTCACTAAACATTCATCTGTTATCGCTAACTCCTTCTGTACATATCTATAGGTCTTGTCTCCATCCCGCCACGTTTTCTGTCCCTTAAGGCACGCTTTGATCTGACTCAATTCCTTATCTTTCAAAGTCACCCTTTTAATCTCTTCCCAAGTTACTGGCCCGCCTCTAGATACTCCCTCCATAGTCCGAATCCGTCCTTGTTCAATTTCTTCCCCCCGTTCCTCTTCTTCTTTCTCCCCTAAATCTTCCCCAGCTCCGCATCTGGATAAAATGTCCGGTAAACAGTTTTTCCTCCCTCGTCGATATTTCACTTGGTCATCAAAACTGCCCACGAGCAATAACCATCTCTGCAGCCTGGGCGATAGCATTAGTTTTTTGTTGTCCTTCCTGAATAGATGCACCAACGGCTTATGTTCGGTGTAAATAATAAATCTCCGCCCAATCAGATATTCACGGCACTTCGTTAACCCGAAAATAACGGCCAATGCTTCTTGTTCAATCACTGAATACCTGGTCTCTGCCGCTCTAAAAATTCTTGAGAAAAATAACACCGGCCTCTCTCCCCCATCAATAGAATGCAACAGCGTTCCTCCTACACCTTTATTAGATGCATCTACAGCCAATATCACCTCCAATTCATTGTTAAAACACACTAAAATGGATTCCTTTCTTATTCGACCTTTTAATTCTATGAAATACTCCTCTTGTTCATTTGTCCAATCAAATTTTCTTCCTTTCTTTATTAATTGATATAAGGGCGCTGCTATCTGAGCAAATCCTTCCATGAACCGTTGATAATAATTTACCATCCCCAAAAATGCCTGTACCTCTGCTTTATCACTGGGTCTTATTATATTATTAATTCCAGTCATATTTCTGTCCACAGGCCGCACCTCCTTTCCTGTGATCTTATGCCCCAGATAAGTCACTTAGGTCACCCCCAACATGCTTTTCTCTCCGCTGGCTCTCAATCCTTTCTCCTTGATTCTTCGAAATACTTCCTCCAATCTCTGTTCATGTTGTTCGGGATTTCTTCCCGTCACCAAGACATCATCCATATAGTAGAAAACTCCATCCATTCCCTAGAAACCCGCAGCCATCGTACGTTGAAAAATAGGAGCTGAAACACTTAGCCCGAATGGTAATCTACAAAACGCAAACAACTCTTTCGGCGTAGTAGTCGTTAATAACTTCCTTACCTCCGGCTTGACCCATAGTTGCAGATATGCATTAGAGAAATCCCCTTTTGAAAAATAAACACTTCCTTTTAAACTAGCCAGTATTTTTTCAATTCTCGGCAAGGGATATTTAACCTCCACTACCCACGGATTTACCGTAACTCGAAAATCTGCGCATAAACGAAGTTTCCCATTGGCTTTCTTCACAGGCACTAACGGAGTAGCCCATTCACTGTATTCCACCAGACATACAATACCTTTTCGTACCCATTGATCCAACTCCCCACCTCCTTTCTCCACTCAAACGGTATCCTCTGTAACGCACAAAACTTCGGAACGCAACAATTCTTTAATTTAATGTCTACTTCATAATCTCTGAGGCTCCCAAGTCTTCGTTGAAAATTTCTCGATAACTTTGTACTAATCTCCTTACTCCTCTTTGCACTCGGGTCATAGCCAATTTTCTTCCCTCGTCTTCTTTAGTTATCAACTCTTCTCCCCTGGGCATTCCTTCCTTCATTACCTCCCGATTTCCTTTCGTCTTTGCATTCATCATTTCTTGATTTTCCTGCGTGGTGGTATTCATCACTTCTCGATTTTCTTGCTGTTATTCCTCTTTGCTTTTCTTCACCTTTCCTTCACCTTTCCTTCCTCCTCCCTCCTCGTAATATCACGACCCCTCTCAACGGCTCCAACGTGCCCAGGGTAACTCCTACCTACTTCTTCTCTTGATTCATTATTTGCTGCTTCTCCCCTAGAATTTCTTTCCCTATTCTACCTTTTGGACTCCTTTTCCCTATTTCGCCCTTAGAGTTATTCTCTTTTATCTCCGTTCTATCATTACCTCCATTTCTTTTGCTCCTCTAATTATTTTCACTTATTCCGCTCCTTGAATTTTCACTCCTTGTTACGCGCCTGGAATTATTTTTCCTTAGTTCGCTCCTTAAATTATCGCTCCTTGAATTATTTTGAATTGTTCCGCTCCTTAAATTAACGTTCCTTGTTTCGCTCTTGGAATTGTTTTTCCTTGTTTCGCCTCTTGAATTATCGCTCCTTGTTTCGCTCCTAGAGTTATTTCTCCTTATTTCGCTCCTTACAATATCGCTCCTTGTTTCGCTCCTAGGAAGATTTCCAAAGGTTCCCTCATTAAACATGGTCTCAATTCCAGGCAACACATTGTCTCTCAAGGTCATAACGGCATATTCCTCACCCGTTATTGGTACAAATATTCCCCACCATGAGAATACTCCCCAAAAGCTATACCACGGACCAATTCTAGTGATCCAATCCCAACCCAACACCGCTTCTATATTCCGATTAATAATCCATAAATCTAATATTTCAACCCTTTCCTCCGATGTCGCCACTATCTCTACCCTACCCATGGCTGCCAACAAGGTTCCATTAAATTGCCTTATTCTCAATCCTTCATTCTCTATCCTTTCCCCAGGCCAAATACTTTGATATCCATTATATCTAATTACCGAAATGGTATCTCCTGTATCAAATAACATGGGAACCATTCTTCCCCTCAAATTTATCATTACTCCATTAGGATCATGTACTATTTCCTCTTGTAGCATATTTACTATCCCCTCGTGTAACATATTTACACACCCCCCTTTATTTGTTTTTCGCTGATTAAATCCGTCCTCCGTCCCTCCTAACCGTCTCGCTAGATCTGTACTGCAATTTTTTCACTATCATATAGTCACAAATTCTCATAATTCCTCGCCACATGCTCACCCTTTCGGCATCGAAAACATTCCCTATTTTTCTCCTCCAACTTTTTGACATTAACTGTCAGCCCCTCTTCATTCTCTCCCGCTCAATAGTCCTCACATATAAAGCATTCGGACTCATTCCTCACTTTTATTATTGTAATTGTTCGCAATACATTCCTCCTTATTATGCCCAAACCTACCACATCCCTTACATCTTAATCTCTCTTGTTTCCCCGGACAATAAGGGGCTAAATGTCCTAATTTTCCGCATCCAAAACATTTCGCCTCCCGGCAATCTCTTAGCATATGGCCTGGTTTACCGCAATTATAACAACTAATTACCCCTCTTCCCCGAGATTCAAAATTTTTTCTTATTTATATCCTCCTTCCCCGAGAATTTTCTCTGGGCTCTCTATACCGTCGCAACACTTGATTATTTCCAAAATTTCGTTTATCAGAGCCATATATATTACTGTTTATATCGCTATCCGTCCACCCTTTAATTAACTCCCTAACCGGTAACCAAGTAACTATACCCATCATATTCTCCTTTACATTATGTGCCTCAATGGTTAAAGTTTGTCCTTTAAATCTTACGCTGCGACTCCTTCTCATTCTCCTGCCCCAAACTAAACTACATATCCATATTAATAGTATAACCAAAGCTCCAAAAATATTATATTGAACCTCTCAGTATTTAAAAAATTTTAAACTTTTCATCACGGCGTTATAAAAAATATATGATTAATTTCAAAATAAAAATCTGGGTTATCTGTAATGTCAACAAATAAGATATTATAAGCAGCGTAAATAAGCCAATGATGCACATATACATGCACACTTAATAGGTCAATGGATGACAAAATTCTTGTAAATTTCTTGTAACAGATTTACGTTTAAAAATATTTGGGTAGCACTTCCTACAATTTTTGGTAAAATTCGTCTAACACTTTTATAATTGCAAAAATTTGGGCAGCACTTCCGAGTATCTGGCTTAATTTCTAAATTTTTGGGTAAATTTGTCAAACAGATTTATAATTGCAAAAATATGGGTAGCACCTCCGTGTATCTGGCTGGGTAAATTTGTCTAATAGATTTATATTTGGAAAAATTTGGGCAGCACTTCCGTGTACTAGGCTTATTTAGTAAAAATTTGCGCGAATTTCTAATAGATTTATATTTGGAAAAATTTGGGCAGTATTTCCGTGTAACAGGTTTTTACTGGCCAAAATTTGGGCAGCACTTCCGTATAAGTTGTCCTTACCTACCCAACAAAAGGGTACTAACTCTTACTGACCATAACCGCCCAACAAATGGGTAACTACACTCTTAATTGAACTCTTGCTGACTATAACCCCCTAACAAATGGGTATATACACTCTTACTTGACTCTTACTTGCTATAAACACCCAACAAATGGGTATATACACTCTTAATCGCTTGTTCACGCAGAAAGTCGTGAGTATTTTGGCCACCAATTTTCTAAGTTAACTATACTTTCTAAATTTTCTAAATTTTCTAAGTTAACTAATTTAATTTTTTAAATAAAAAATTATTTATTATTATTTTTTTTTACTTGATATTCACCTTCTATCAAACAACCGTTTTTCAAGTTCAAACAACTTTCTTTTATTTCAAACAATTTTTCTTTTTTCAACAAAAGCAATAAAATCATGAAAAAAAATCAAACGAAAAAAAATAAACGAAAATTAATAAACGAAAATGAATGCTTTATTTTTATTTTTCTTTGATTATATATACTTGAAAAAAAATAAATAATATATAAACAAAAAAATATAATTACCAATTTTTTTTAATCAACATAGCAATACGTAAAAAAAACAAATAATATTAACGCTAATCAACTAATATATATCCAATAATCATAAACAAATTTTCTACCAACTACGATAAGAATTAAAATATGAAATATAACCAATATTGTTTTAAAAAAATAAATGTATAACTTAATGAAGAAGCGTGAAGTTTATTCCCAAGAAAGCAATTGACTTTTTAGTAACCAAACCATGCAAATTAAAATTCATACATGAGCGGAATTCGTTTTTGAGTAAAATTTTCAAGAGTTAGATTTGTTAGATTTGAAACTTTATAATAAATTTTTTTCAATTGCGATAGATTAGATAATTGATAAAAAAATCTTCTTTTTAAAAATTAAAATCCCGGCTCTGAACACGGTCGTTGAAGCCAAAATTAGTTTGAAAAATCTCGATTATCTTTTTCAAGTTTTGTGAAGTTGGTGTTTGTCCATTTACTAAAATCAATTTCTTATATCAACATTTTTGCGCTAAAAGATATTTTTAAATTAATTATTGTTTTTATCTTTTAATTATTAAAAAGAAACTAGCATATTTTATTTTGCTTTCCCAGTGCTTTATTTTTTAAATATAAAATTACACAATATATTCGTTTGATTTTCTCTTTTGTATTAAAGAATAGGCTAATTCATTTGCTTTTGTTAAGAAATAAGCAAATTCATTTGCTTTTCCGTTGTTTATTTTTTTTTATGCAATTAAAATTTTTTATCAAGAATATATCGTATAAGCATAATATTTTTCTTTTATATATTTTATAAAACAATCGATAAAAATATGCTTACAAAATGTATATTTATTAATGTAATAAAAATAATGTTAACGTTTAAATAGTAAAATAATAGTGTAGTAAAAATAGTGATAATTTTTTTAACATAGTAAAGTAAGAATTGTATTAATTTTTAAAATATAAAGATTATATAAATTTTATTTAAATATTTTTTAAGAAAAATTATAAGGGAAACAATGGTGACCTTACTTCTATAGACACTTCGCCACTGATAAATAAATAATTTTTAAAATAATTATTATAATGGAAATTAAAATGATATTTTTTTAAATATAATCCAATCCAACTAATATCCAAAAAAATTAATTAAAAAAGCAATCGAAGGCCCCTCCCCTCCGATATACTGCCTACAGTAATGACCTAATCGCACCAGTTTCTATTCCGTATATTGTATATCAAACAAAACATTCCCCGATATCAATCTGAAACCATTCAGATCAATTCATTTTCACTGCCTCCTTTTTTTAATATTATTTACCTTTTTAGATCATTTGCAATTAATATTGATGTTTGTCATTAAAAATCCGAAAAATCTATTATAATCTAATCATACCAATCAGTGGCGTAGCTACGAGCAATTAATTTTTTTTTTTTAGAATATTCGTTTAAAAGACTCAAAAGTGACTTTATATCAAATAAATACCATGAATATTTATATTTTTCTGGTTTTGATGTTTGTGGAAGGATATTATTACTTTTAATTTTAAATATATATATACAAATTATTCTGTATATTATTTTAAAGTCATTGATAATAATCTATTAATTTTAATAATATATTATTGATGCATTTTTAAAAAAATATTTATTATAAATTATCCAAGATATGGTTCGAAAATAATAATATGAAATAAAAAAGTGCATAAACTACCCTACCCCCCTCAGAGAAATTTTTTTTAGATTATTCGTTCAAAAGATTCAAAAGTGACTTTATATCAAATAAATACCATGAATATTTATATTTTTCTGGTTTTGATGTTTGTGGAAGGATATTATTACTTTTATATATATATATCAAATTATTCTGTATATTATTTTAAAGTCATTGATAATAATCTAATAAATTATAATAATATATGCATATTTAAAAAAATATTTATTATAAATTATCCAAGATATGGTTCGAAAATAATAATATGAAATAAAAAAGTGCATAATCTACCCCCCCCCCCACCCCTTTCAGAGCAATTTTTTTAGATTATTCGTTCAAAAGACTCAAAAGTGACTTTATATCAAATAAATACCATGAATATTTATATTTTTCTGGTTTTGATGTTTGTGGAAAGATATTATTACTTATATATATATATAAATTATTCTGTATATTATTTTAAAGTCATTGATAATAATCTAATAAATTATAATAATATATTATTTATGCATATTTAAAAAAAATTTATTATAATTTATCGAAGATATGGTTCGAAAATAATAATATGAAATAAAATAGTGCATAATCTACTTTCTCATGCTTTTGAGGCTAAAAAATATTTAATCCAGTGTAATAATTAATATCTTATGCATTATAGGCTCTATTGAAAATAATAAGGATGATGTAAATACACCAGGTCAAAATAACATTTAATATAAAAAATATTTAAAATTAATAGCTAACTATTTTTATTTTAGAATTTAAAATTAAACACCTAGTCATAGTTTTAACTAAATTAAAATTGCCAGTACAAACCACTTTGGGTAATTTATTATTTTAAATAATTTTGGCTAACCAAAATATTTTGACATTTACAAGATATACCCAAACGTAGGAGGGAAGAAAATGATCTTGATACACTCATTTATATACCCAAAGACCATATAAAATCACTACCTAGTACAAGTAATATAATCTATTAAGATTTAAATATTTTTTATTATAGATTTAGATATATCAAGTATTACATTTAATAAAAATGATGATAGTCAACAAAATGAACACACCAAATCACTAATTAATATAGAAAATCAAAATTTTAATGATGAACTTGATACCATAAGCAACAATTTACCACCCACATCAGGTATTTTATAATGACCTTATTTAAATGAATCACTAATTAATATAGAAAATCAAAATTTTAATGATGAACTTGATACCATAAGCAACAATTTACCACCCACATCAGGTATTTTATAATGACCTTATTTAAATGAATCACCAATTAATATAGAAAATCAGAATTTTAATGATGAACTTGATACCATAAGCAACAATTTACCACTCACCTCAGGTATTTTATGAACTTATATGACCTTATTTAAATGTATTCATTTAAATTTTAGAAATACCTAGAAACTCTATAAAAAATTATGATAAAAATAAGCTAAATACACTTGATCACTTCAAATCTCTACCTAGTAAAAGTAATGTTAACTATTACCTTTAAATATTTATATCATAATTTTAGGTATATCAAGTATCATATTGAAGAAGAATGATAGTAGTCAACAAAATATTATAGGATGTATCAATTTAGAATTTAAAGGTTATCTAATATGTTGTTTTATTTTAATTCATTTTTATAGGAATATCTCAATTAATATTCACACCAAGGGGTAAAAAATAGTGATAACAAACAAAAAAATACACTAAGTCACAACAAATCACTATCTAATAAATGTAATGTAATCAATTACTTATTAATATTTACATTAAAATTTTAGATATATCTAAAAAATCTAGGGAGAATTTAAATGGAAATGAAGTTCCACTCATGTCAGGTATTAGTCTTATTTAAATTATATTTATTTAAAATCTTAGCAATTCCCACATACTCCAGAAACCTAAGGGTTAACAGACAACCAATTATACTAGATCATTTAGAACCATCACCTACTACAAGTGATATAGTCTATTACTTTATACTTATAATAATCAAAAGTTGGTTCCAAAGCTAACATGTCATCTATGATTATTAGCCTAGGTTTCTCAATATTAATTTTAAACATCTATCATATATTGGTAAAAAAATATTGCCAACATAATTTTGATTTTTTCACTTTGAAGGATATCGACTTAAATTTACAGTTTAAAAAAAACATTTATTTTTTAATCTATATTTTTAATGTGTTTACTAATTATAAAATATATCATTTATAATTAAGGCAATATAATATTTATAATTAAAGCAATTTATATGTGTAATACTAATATTTATAATTAAGGCAATATAATATTTATAATTAAAGCAATATAATATTTATAATTAAAGCAATATAATATTTATAATTATAGCAATATAATATTTATAATTAAATCAATATAATATTTATATTTTAAATAATCGCTTTTTATTTGTAAATAACTTCTAAAAGTATAATAAAATGAAACGTATATCAATAAAATTGTGTCAATGTGTTATTTTAATTAAAATTATGTCAATGTGTTATTTTAATTAAAATTAGTAGTTAATGGCTCAATTTTAGCCGATATGGCTAACTCAATATATTAGCCAGAAAATTTTGCTCATGGAGATACAAGTTTTATATTATTCGAGAAATCTCTAGGCTTGAACAATATTTTTTGGCAAAAATATTGAGTTAGCTGTTTATAAAAATCAGCTCAAGTCGAGCCGTTTAACAACACTAATTAAAATAATTAATAATTATAGGACTTTTATATTATAAGAAAAACCAATATGATTTTTAAGATAAACCCGGCCGAAGACCGGGCAAAGGGCCAAAGGCCCGTAAAATAGGGTCTAGGGGGGCGAAGCCCCCCAGGCTTTTATATGTGGACCCCCTCTAAGGAAAATTCCTAGCTACGCCACTGATACCAATCTTAACTCATCATCTATAAAATTAGACATTATGGGGCCTGTGGCTATAGAAATAGGTATAGAAGACAATTGAACATATTGACATTTAAAATTTCTGACCAGTTATACTACATAGGGATCCGTTACAATATATTTGATATGTTTTTTTAGATATGTCAATTTAAAATTTTTATTTTATACCTTCCGGGGAGATTTACTTTTTATTCTAAAAAATGATAAAACACTAAAATATTAAAACACTAAAATATTAAAACAAGTATAAAAATATGTAAAATTACTAAATAGAAATAAATATAGATATATATTATAAATATCTAAGTCTCTAAAAAGTATTTAATAATGAATATATACCTAAAAAACAAGTATAATTGTGTTTAAAAATTTGATTCGCGATTTTCGTTTGTTATGTTAAAAATTTTTCATGATAAAATTTAAAAAAAAAATGTAGACTATAAAAAATTGCCGTTAGTTGATATGACTATTGGCTGAAATATAAAGTTATTTAATTTTATTTTGAATATTTATTAATTTTTTTATTTTCCCCACAAGTAAGAGGGTTTGAATTAATTGATGAGGAGGAGACAACATTTTATTTTTTAGGATATATGAAGAACATTTTTTTTGTTAAAAGAAAAGGAATTTTTGTTAAAAGAAAAAAAAGATATGCTTATATGAATATATTTTGTAGAACTTTGATAGATGAATAAAAATAAATAAAGTATCTTATTGACCTCAAAACAAAAATAAATATAAATTTAGCATCAAAATATACAAATTTATCAGTTTTACGTGTTCATATTCCAAAATAATAAAGTTAAAGTTGCCTAATAAAATTTTTTCTTCCTTTAGTTATGCGACATATCAGACATTCGATGTAATGCCATATTTATCTCAATTCAGATTTTAAAAAAATCTAGGAAATGTCACATTTTTACAAACCTACATTTGTTCATGACTTTCCAGTACAGGAAAAACATTTATCAGCTCAATCTCAATATTGGGATGAATATAAAGTAATATTTTTATTTGGGTTATCAATGTTTTAATGATATTAAAACGTTCTTACAATTAACATGAATATCAATATATTATTTAAATTTGGTCTATCTTTAACCATGAGCAAGCTTATAAAACTTATTTTTTATTAATTTGCTATATATGACCCATATATTATATTAGCTGATTCTTTTAATATATAATATCCTTTGTAATATTATGTATTTGTGTTTTCCTACAATTTCTAGATTCCAATTACACTAAAGGAATCATCTGCCATTAAACATCTTGATTTAACCAAAGTTTACCCCTATAAGTTAGCTATAACATCTTCCACCAAAGTTAGTTATATTATCATTTGATTTATATTTATTCTATGTTCAGGTTCAAATTTATGATTTAAATAATGATAAACCTATTGTAGCATTTACCAATTTTAAGAAAAGTGCTTATGGTGCATCATTTCGAAAGGATGGTGAATTATTGATTGCTGGGTGTGATGATACAGGGGTTAAATTGCTCTCACTTGCAACTAAATCACAATTAAGGGAATTTAAAGGACATACAAGGTAATATAATAAATTGAATCTATAATTGAGTCTGTTTCATCATAGCACATTAATAAATACATATTTTTTGGCTTGACCCACTCTTTAAATTTTTTATAGAATGTGGGCTCTAGTCTTGCAAATTTGATTTTATTGGCCTGATTCCAGTCCAAATTTATTATAGAACAAGCCTGGATCAACCCAAATTTTTTAATTAAAGATATTAATTTATCACATTTTGATGAAATTAAATGAAATTAAAACCATTAATTGCTTTTAGAGGTCTGCAAATTTCAAGCCCATGCTGAAAGGTTGTGAATAAACATTTTTATATTTTATGTTATTGGTTTAAACTAAAATTGTTAATAAATGTAAAAAATGAAAGAAGATATTTAAAAAAAAACCATAATTTTATTTTTGAATAAACATGGGTAAAAAACATGTAGCTTACAGAATTGGAATTCTTTTTTAAAATAAGGATTCAAGATCATGAAAAAAAGTGAAGATTAAAAATTTTGATTTAATCATAAATATTTTGTATCAACAAACTGATTTTAAACCAATAAAATAAATAATGATTTTGAAACTTTTTATTTAACACAAAAATTTAGCAAAATGAAAAAGCTATAAAATATTAAACTGCATTTAAAATACAGTGCAACAGATTGATAGGAATTTTTATAAAAATAATTATACATCTTCAAGATCCCACATGCCTATCTTTTTAAGCATATGGAAGCTTGGATAATATTAGTGAAACATTGACCCATTTTAACATAACATCCTTTTGAAAATTCCCTTTCATAGCAAGTTGAATTGGCTGGAATTGTCTGATTATCTGGAAATTTTTGTTAATTTGGGAATATTTTTTGATGTAATTCCCACCAGTCTAGTGGATTAAAATCCTTAAAAGGTGATTATACTTGCTTATAACTTTCTTCAACCTGATATATTTTATTAAAAAAGCCTATTTCTTGGATTTATATTTGGTTTCATTCATCTATATTAAAATTGATATTTATTTAATGCATATTATATTCTTTCCTTAGATATGGGTGTCGAAAATATTATATTTTAATAACTGTCTTTATATTTAAATTACAGAAAAATCATTGTCAATATTAGACATCAGAGATTGCAGACCTGGCCCTAAGTCTGGTCGATACATGGGCCTGGTCATATTTTAATTCTTTAAATATACCCAGGGCGGGCTGTATATTTTAAAACTGAAGAATTTTGAGACACTTCGTTTAAATGATTTTGAGATTGGGTCGTAGTCATAATAATTTATTATCAAAATTTATTGTTTAACAAAATAACTAAAATAATTATTATCAAAATTTTACAAAACTAAAAAAGTTTATATTAATAAAAACATAAAAAAGTGTGTATTAATAAAGATTTTCAAAATTATTTTACAGAAAAAATAAAGTATATCCAAACTATAAAAAATTCGTCCCTTTTATAGGGAAAATAAAAGGCGCAATTATAAATTAAAATTATGGCGCAAAGTGAAAAAAAGGACGTTTTTGTGGAAACGAGTTGTGTTAGTTTTATCGTACATAATTGTGGATAAAACCTACCCCCCTATATTTCCCGAAACTCAAAATATACCTTGGGATGCAGGGTGGTCTCCCGGACCCAACGGTCTAATTCATATTTTCTGATAGGACTCCTAAAGTAAGAAATCCAGTAAAGTGAGAGAAAACACAAAAGCCATATGTTTTACCTAAAACAAGAGAGGGACCAAAAAGAGAAACCTTTTTTTAATTTTCATTTTATTGTAAACAAAGGAGAGGTATTAAAAAACTTTATTTAACTTTAACATAAACAAAAGAGGTGGATTAAAAAAACTTTTTCATCTTAACCATAATAAAAGAGGGGGATAAAAAAAACTTTTTTTTTCATCTATAACACTCCTCCCCCCTAAACAGGCCACGGGGAGGGAGGGGGATGATCCTAGTCTCGACTAAGCTTCAAAATCCTAGGTTTATTACGAGTTCCTGAAAACGTCTCCCCCCCCCCCAAACACAATCAATTCCCTAGAAAAGTATAACTAAATTATCATTGCAAAACTAATTCACACCCCCCCCCCCCCCACCTTTAATAGGCAACGGGGAAGGGGGAATGGTATATATTGATTGGGAAAAAAAAATTTAAAAAAAAAATATTTATAGTTAATAAATTGAATATTCGGGAAAAACGTTTATATTTATAAAAAGAGGAGGGGGGGGGAATATTGGTAATTAATTGTTCGATTTATCGGGGGATCGTCGTTTTCTAATTTGCTTATCATGATAAATCTGCATTCCTTGTTTTGTTCTGACTTGATACATGCGATTTCCTAATGTTTTCTTCGTAAGTCCCAGTTTCCATCGGGGGGATTTCTTATAGGTGGGTACCCACACCCTTGATCCTTTTTGTATTCGACTTGTCTTGGGGGTGGTTGTGGCTGTTTTCGACGTATGTTGTTCGTGCAGTCGATCTAAGGGATTTCGAAGTCGGCGGCCTAAGAATATTATTGCCGGGACCATTTTCGTTGTCGTGTGTTGGGTGTTGTTGTAGTTATGTAGGAAGTTGGTTATTTGTTCCTGTATGGTTAGAGAGTTTATGCCTTGTATTGCATTTTTGAAGGTTCAAACGAATCTTTCGGCCATTCCATTGCTTTGGGGCATGTAAGGCGCGGTAGTCAGGTGTTTTATGTGATTTTTATCGCAGAATTCTTGGAAACTTTCTCTGGTAAATTGAGTTCCGTTGTCAGATACTAGGGTAGCTGGGAACCCCGTATATTTAAAAGCATTTGTTAAGGCTTTAATTACATTGGTGGACGAGATTGATGGAAGGTTGATGACGTCGGCCCATCTAGAATAGGTGTCAATTATGATTAGCCATGATTTATCGAATACGGGTCCTGCAATGTCTATTTGTATTTTTTCCGCGACTTTGTTTGTACTTGGCCAAGGGGAGTCTTTTATACGAGGTGTGTTTTCTTTGTACATATTGCAGTGTCTGCATAATTCATACACGGAATGAATATCTTTATTAATCGAGGGCCACCATACGTAGGTACGAGCTGATTCTTTCATTTGAATTATGCTAGCGTGTCCCAGGTGCAATTCTGTGAGAGTCTGACTTTGTAATGCTTGAGGTATTATAATGCGGGTATTCTTTAACAAAATGGAATTCTCTATCGTAATTTCATGCTTTAGACGTTGATAAGGTAGCAAATTAATATTGGTTATTTTATTAGGCCATTCCGTGGTTAAATATTTTAAGATTTAGGATAGGATCGGTTTGAGTTTCCTGTGACAAGTTTTTGGAATTAAAGGGTAATTGGTGTATTTGTTTGATTATTAAGAGTTTTAAAATGTTGTCGTCTTTATTGATGGGATTAGTTTCAGGTAAGGGTAAACGAGAGAGCGCATCTGCATTTTTATTTTTTAGTCCTTCTATGTATTGGATTTTATAATGATAACTGGATAGGATTATTCCCCATCTTTGTAAACGGAATGAGGCTATAGTGGGAATACCTTTTTGGGGGCTAAATAATGAGATTAAAGCTTTATGATCTGTTTTCAATGTGAATTGTCTTCCTAATAAAAATTGACGAAATCGTTTTACTGCAAAAAATATGGCTAAGGCTTCTTTGTCTATTTGGGAATAATTTTTTCGGCGGTATTTAGGGTGCGTGAAGCATAGGCTAGTGGATGTTCGCTATTGTCTGAAAATATATGGGATAAGACTGCTCCAACTCCTTAAGGTGATGCATCGCAGGCTAAGGTCAGAGGAAGACTGGGATTATAATGGCATAGGGTTAAGGGTGATGTTAGAATAGTTTTTATTTGTTTACTACTTATTTCACAATTATTATCCCAAGAAAATTCAATGCCGTGTTTCAATAAATTGTAAATAGGTTGAGCGATGGTGGATAAATTGGGGATGAATTTGGCATAATTAGTAATTTATCCGATATAGGATTGTACTTCTTTAACCGTTTTGGGAGTAGGACAGTTTAAAATGGCTTCGGTGTTTTTGTTGTTTGATGATAGACCGTTACTATTTATTACATGTCCTAGATATTCAACGGACGGTTGCGCGAATTTGCATTTTGGTAGGTTTATTTTCAGGTTGTATTTGTGCAGTCGTTGAAATAGTTTATGGAGGTTGTCCCAATGCTCATCTTCTGTTTTCCCAGTAACTATTATGTCGTCCAAGTAGGTGGTAGTTTTGTCTAAGCCTTGAAATATCATGGGAGCGGCGGAGACCCCAAACGGTAGTCTATTTACACGGTAGGGACCAAGATGTATACTTATGGTTAGGATTTCACTTGTTTCCTGGGTAACTGGAATTTGCATATAGGCATCCTTAAGATCGATTGTTGTAAATAAAGTACCTCCTTCTAATTGGCCAAAGATATCCTCTATTCTGGGAAGTGGATAACAGTTGTTTTTGACCCATGGATTGATGGTTACTTTATAATCTATACATAGTCGGAGGGTCTCTGTTTTGGTTACTGGGACAATTGGGGATCCCCATAGACTATATCCACACTTTTCAATTATTTTGGCTTGCTCCCATCGGTTTAATTCCACTTCGACTTGGGTTTTATAGGCGTAGGGTACTTGTCTTGGTTTGATAAATCTGGGCTGAGCTTCTGGTTTTAGATGTACGTCTATGGGAGTTGGAAATTCCCCTAGAATATCGTCGGCAATATTGGGAAATTTGGCTATTAGTTTGGTAGCGTTTGTTCCGGCCGATATATTGGACATAATTGAGGGGAAAATTCCTATAGTGTCTCGGCCTATAATGAGTTTATTATCATTGTCGGTGATTAATACTGACATGAAAGCAGATTGTTGATCATATTTTAACCAGGTTTTAATTTCGCCCAATATAGGAATGGAGTGACCGGAATATGAAGTTAATTGTATTATAGATTTAGTTATTGGAAGATTTTTAAAATGGGTGTTGTATATATTTTTTCCTATGATAGTTATTGGCGATCCCGTATCAATTTCCAT